GTTTGTTTGGGGTTTTTTGGGTTTTTTTGCTTTTTTTTTTTTTTTTAATATAAATGTGTAAACTCTATGGCAGAATAAGCAGAATAAGCATGAGGTTAGAAGATTTGTGCTCCCGGTCACGTTTCAAAACATTCTTTGAATAGAGTTCAAGAAAAAGTCCACTGAAGTGAGTTTGAGATACAGACACTTCCATTGACAGCTGCTGATATCTGATTGAGCCCCTATTGCATGGCCTTGAGCAAGTCTCACATCACGTTTAAGCAAAGAGGATCAGTATGTACTTACCTGAAGAAATGTTCATGTTTTGTATAAGGCTTCAAACTTGAACATACAAATGAGATGCAAGAACTATGGTTTACCAATTACTACCTTTCCTCCAATGTGAATTTCATAGAAGGCAAGAAAGAACTTGCTGCCTTGCTCTAGTTCAACCCTAGAAGGTGTTAGCTGAAAACTATGCTAGCAAGGGTCCAATTTCCTTCTTGCAAATGGAATCAGCAATGTGCTGAAAAGTGCTTTCCTTTAACATGCAAATGACTGATAGAGTTCATGTCTAGCAGGATACTACAACACCAAATATTAGCTGACTTTTTCAACTGATTTGTTTTTTTGGTTTTGGGGGTTTTTTTAATAATCACAAGAAAAAATTGCTGACACAAAACTCAATAAAGCACTTTAAAAAATTTCACCAATATCCAAACTAAGAATTCCTAAGCTAGCTATCCTTTACAACTCATGGCCTCAGACTTTTATTGAAGATGCCAGCTCTTTCCTAAGTGTGCTTTGTCGTCCACAGAAGTCACTTGACATATGACAGTTTTGCATGAACATGCATCCTCCTTGCACTCTCCAAATAAGAGATATAAGAAAAAATTAAAGAACAAGGAGATATGCAATTTGTCTAGCTACACCACTAATACAAACTGTTACGGAGAGAATTTAATTCTACAGAAATTAGTTGACATCTTGCCACCAAAATGCAACACTCATTTTGCTTCACCAGAACAATCCTAGTATGGAAAGTACACGTAAATTACTAAGGTACTGTGACTACCTCAGTATAACTCCATGAGAAAGAAGGTATAGGAAGGAAGAGAAAGAGCAACAGTGTAAATCTTTTGTCACAGTATCTCAGAACTATAATTGATTCTAAGCTCAGCAGTGGAGTCTGGTTTATAGATAGCAGCAAAGCTCCATCTAAGGCTGTGGCTTACACTGATTTTAGAGGATCCATGGCTCTGTCCCAAAATGAGCAGAAGAAAAGAAGGCACTGTTGCTACTGGACAAGCAGTTTCTGAAAAAAAGCCAGACCCCAGTCATACAAACATTTACTGTTCTTTAATTTCAGGAGTACGTTTCTTGCACTGAAGTCAGGGAAATACTGACTTGCTTAGACAAATCTGTGAGAAGTTGGAGAATCCATAGGGGAGAATGCTAAAGAATATTTACATTACATTCACTCTCACTTAAAAATCAGAAAAATCTTTGGCAAAACTGAAAAGTCTGGGGCTGTAACATCATTGGGAATCCTTATGAACTGACCATCAGGGAAATTTCCTAGTCATGAGGTTCAGTGCCCTAAAGTATCAAAGCAGTAAATGACCATAAACTCGTTTTACAGAACTTGCCCAAAAGCTGACAGAGTTAGCTTGTATCCAACACAGAAAATCCCTTGGGAACACTTTTAACGCCATCATTATGAAAGTCTGTAAATATCCCCAAATTATGTGATATATTCCTGGTCCTTGCTTTCCTGAGAGGTTCCTTTAGCATTCAGTCTTGCACAGTTCCTGGCTCACACCATGTTCATCTCAGTTTTGGAGGTGCTCATGAACTGCAGGAGGAAACTACACTTTAAACACCACATCTCCAAATGCAAAGGAGCTCAGCTTTAGGGACACTGTGAGCTGACTGGAAATCCTGGTTCACTATAGAAAGTATTGTTGGGATTGCCATGGGGACAAGATTTTACCTCCTCGAAAATACAGCTCTGGAAATGCTATGAAAAATAGCCAGCCAAAGGGGAGAGGACAACCATGAAACAGAGAAAGCAGCATCCCCAGGGAATTTACTGAAATGTATTTATAGTTCTCCTTGCACGTATTAATACTGTTTGTGACTCAGGGCTTTTAATTCACCAGCAATCACAATCGCATAGAATACCCTGCTGGAGGGCAAGGAACAGGGAGCAATACGCTCCATGGTTTCCATTCAGGTACACCAGAAGGAGCAGAAATTAAGTGAATTCCCACACGCCTTCTCCTGTACCCCCTCAGTCCTCGAAAGCGAGCGTGCCGTTGCTCCTGTGCAGGGCTGCTGCCAGACAAAGGCGCAGAGATTTCCCGTCTCCCCGTCAGTCAGCCACGCGCACACATACTCCCCCCGGCGTCTCTCGGCTCCTGCACGTGAATACTTCAGTTATTTCCCAATGCCGTATTTGCAGAAACAGGAATCACGCTTCCCATGCTCTCCTTGCTTCTGCCCCCTCCCCTACAGCATCTGCCCACCAAGCCAGATGATGCTGCGGGTGGGAGCGATTGCTGCTCGGGCTTTGAATCCCTCGAGCCGAGGGAGCCGCTGGCACATCTGGAGCCCCGCAGGGCGGGCAGGCAGCAGCCCTGACCCAGCCGAGGGCCCCCACAGCCCCGGCCGGGGGCTCAGCCCTGCTCCCAGCCCTCCTTGCCTCCGGGCACGGGCAGACAGGGCCGGGCGGGCGGTGCCAGGCCGGGGCCGCCCCGCTGCTCGGGAGCGGGGCTGGGAGGCAGGGCTCTGCGGCATCTCGCCAGAGCCATTGTCTGCTGGCCCGGCACCAAAGCCAGGCCTGGGGGCGTTGTGGGGTGGTTCCCTTCTTCCACTGCAGCAGGGTTGCAGCGACAACAGCGATGGGATTTTGCTGTCCCTGCATCGGGATGCAAAGGCAGCGGGGGATTGGGGAGGGGTAGGGGGGCGCGCCGGCGGCAGCTCCCGGAGCTCTGAGAGGACGAGGGTTTCGGGTTTTCCTTCTAAATGCCGACATTTGAGTAACGTTATCAGCGAGCTGATATTGCACAACCAGGAAAGCGTCATGCAGGGATATGGAGCACAACCACCGCCCCGCTCCAGCCAACACAGCCCTTGGCCGCCGCGGGAGCCGGCCGGGAGCTGCCCCTGCCCTGGCCCCACTCCCTGCCTCTGTCCCGGTCTCAGCCCCCGGCCCGGCCCGGCCCGGCCCGGCCCGGCCCGGACACGCGGCAGCTCCCGGGACGGGGACCCGGGAGCCAGGGGCAGTGGCCGCCCCCCCGACCCGTCCTGGGGCTGCCTTCCGTCGGCCTGGGCAGGGATCGAGGAGGCTGGGGCGATGCTCGGCTACGACCCGAGCTGAAAGCTGTGCTTGTGTCTCCGTGTGTGTGTGTGTGTGTGTGTGTGTGTGTGTGTGTAGCTTTGTGTGCGTGTACGCGTGTGCGCGGGGAGGAGGAGGGTTGGGCGATGAAGGGAGGGGAAGGAAGCAAGGGGGGAAAGAAGAAGAGATAGAGAGAAAAACGCGGAAAGCGGCAAAATGGTTAGTGGTGACATCACCGTCATTTGCATAGGCAGGGGGATAAAACCGCCCCGCCAGCGAGCGCCCTTTATACTGGCGTGCGGAGCGGCGGCAGCAGCGAGCGGCGGGACTGAGCATCACCGCGCGGCGACACCGGTGGGTCCTGCCGCACCCCCAGGCACCCCCCGGTCCCTTAGCACAGGCGGCATGAACCCGACACCCCTGCCGGGGGGGGACCGCGGGCAGGGCAGGGCAGGGCAGGGCTGGGCTCGGGGGCTTTTGTCCGGGGGGGTGGGAGGGAGGCGAGGAGGAAGGGAGGGGGCTATTGTCCATGTCGGGTATTGTCTGCGGGCGCGCTGCTGCAGGGCGGCGGCGTGCGAGGCGCAAGGCGGCTTTGTTGCCGTCTCAGGGCTATATTTTTAAATTACTTTTCCCTTAACGAATTAAAAACGCGGTCAGCGCCGTGTGCGTCCCCCCTATTGTACTCCGGAGCGCGCAGATAGTGGGAGCTGCCCCCGGAGGCTGGCGGCGAACCGCAACGCCTGGGATGCTGGATTATACAGACACTTACAAAAATTAGCATTATTTTTAAATATATCGGGGGTGAAGCGCTTCACTTGCAGCGAGGTGGAGCGCGCGGCTCCCGCGGGTGCCCGCGCTGGGCGCGGCCCCGCAGGGGCGCGGGGGGGCCGGGCAGCCCCAGCCGGGGGTAACGGGCTCTTCCCCTCCGTGCGCAGAGTCACCTGCCAACATGTCCGACAAACCAGACATGGCTGAGATCGAGAAATTTGACAAGTCCAAATTGAAGAAGACAGAGACGCAAGAGAAAAACCCGCTGCCTTCAAAAGAAAGTGAGTGAGGGCAGGCGGCGGGGAAGAGCAGGCGCGGAGGGAGGGAGTCAGGCAGGGAAGGAGGGAGGGAGGAAAGGGTGAAGGGAGGGAGGCGGGAGGAGACAAAGAGGGGCGGCAGGCGGGAGCCGGGGGTGCGGCGGTGCAGGGTGGAGGGAGGATACGCGGCTGTGTCTGTGCTAGACAGCCAGAGCCTGAACCCACTGCCTAGCAGCGCTTGATTTACGATTATTTACACCCTGTTTTGATCTGTAGCTAAAAATATACATTTATTTTAGCAATTTATAGCAATTGTCATGTGAATGCATTTCAGGTTCTCGATTTTCATTTTGCTTTTCTCCTTTTCTGTTTTTTTCCACCTTTTTAGCAATTGAACAGGAGAAGCAAGCGGGTGAATCGTAATGAAATCTGCCCTTCCAAATTATGCACTGTACATTCCACAAGCATTGCCTTCTTATTTTACTTCTTTTAGCTGTTTAACTTTGTAAGATGCAAAGAGGTTGGATAAAGTTTAAAATGACTGTACTGCCCCTTTCACATCAAAAGAATAGAGAGAACTACTGACACTGAATGAAGGCGCTGCCTTTCCCTCTGCCTGTCTGGCTTTGGTCCTGGTGGCATGAAAGAGCTTGCATGTTGATGAAAGAAGAACTTGGGTGGGACTACAGTAAACTAGAGTAACACATGAATAAATGCAAAGCTGTATCAAGGTCCTGCGAGCTGTAAAATGCAGTTAATCGAGTGCCATTTTTTTTTTTGTTCAAATGATTTTAATTATTGGAATGCACAATTTTTTTAATATGCAAATAAAATGTTTTAAAACCTGGATGGTATTTATGTCCTCTATTTGGAGAACTGTATCAATGGATAAGAAGCATAAGAGCCGGTACTGAGACACAGGATGCTATAAAACCTTTGGAGATGCGTCAAACATCAGTCACCATTCTAATTTTTTTCCAGTATGTGTGCTCACCAATATATAAACTTGCGATTCTTGAAGCTAGATTTTAGACAGATTTCATTAAAAAATTGCATGTCTTATAATTTCTCACCATGTGAGTATATCCCTTTAAGTATTTATTTTATGTAGAGATTGATAAAAGCAAAAAAATCGGGCTGCATTTATTGTTTTGCCCCACCCATAGCATAGCTCTTTTATGAACCATTCTGTGCTGTTGCAGACGTTCAGCCTCGGTTGTATGAACCCCTATTAAGTTAGTTAGTTTAATAACTAAGGCTTGTTATTTTGATATCGTATTTAAAGGAAGCTGTAACTTGAATTTTAAGTCCAAGATTGAACGTAAGCTTTAGTTTCGTAAAGCATTTAGTGGTTGGTGTCCCGTGGAAATAAAAATAATTTTGTTACTATGTTGCTCATGTTTTGAACAACATCTTTTAACAGTCTCCTTGATCCTAAGGACTGGTTTCAAAGTTTAAAAAGCTACAGTCTTAAAAATTCAAAATGGACCATTTGGGGACAAAAACGTTGTGCTAACTTATTCATAAGGGTCATAATAAATGTGGCATGCAAATAGCTACACTACATTGCTGGTTTACAGCAATTCTTTAAGGCCTTGGACAGCTTTTGGTTATTTTTCTTCAAACGACTGCGGGTAAAACCTGTGATCCAGGGAGATCAGTAGGAGTTGACTTTAGCAGTCATGAATTTCATCAGAGTGGAGTGAGTAATGATCATTCTGGGAAACAAAAATGCTGTCAGATAACCTGTAGGAGGGTGGTGAGCGTGCTTCTGCAGTGCCTTAGTTTTATCTTATGGATTTGAGGCTGCATCAGTTTCAGTCAGTTCCTATAAAGCAAAATTAGTCTCTTTGGGGAAGCTTGAGTTTTGCTGAGGCTGCTGACTTGGTGGGTTCACATAGATTTGGGGTTTCATCCTGTCACTGCTTCCTAGAAGCATCTGACTGCAACCATAAGCTGGCCTTGGTTTTACACCATTGAGAGCAGTGGGGGTCCTCTCCTTGGAAATTTGGTGGATGTTTGTGCTTCTGGAAAAAGTGGGAACCAAAGGGGTGCCACATGCTTGTGGGCACAGTCCCCAGCCCCCAGCAGTGGAAAACTTGCAGAATTGAGTGTTTGATAAGAATTTCGGTTCAGGCTTGAGATTTTTTGATGCAGTCCATGGGAAGATTTGGGAAGTCCTGGTGTCTTATAAGGACCTTCACAGTAATTTAAGGTGATGAGTTCAGGAAGGAAATGAGCCATTTCTTGTGCTTGTTTGAGCTCTGATTTTATTCGCCATGTATAATGGGAAAGATGGGAAATTTACAAGCTGAGTTTCTGTAAAGTCAATTAATCAGCTCCCAGCTACTGATCTTAATCAGGTAGCATGGGATGTGACATGTCTTGGTGCAGAAGTGCACAGCATAAGCTGCACGACGTGCAGATGAGTAGAAGCAAGTGCTTGCTTAGTGTGGATTTATCTGTGGGAAAAAAACAGCAAGGTATTTCTGAGGGAGGCAAAGCACGAGGTATACACAGCTCTGCGTATGTCAGTGAAAGTGCATGCTGTAATCCAGCATAGTTCAGCAAAAATGCAATGAGTAATTGACAGTAATGAGGCCTATGACTTCAGAGCTGCACATCCAAAGTGATCAGTGATGGTCAAAGGGTACCACCAACTGCAACATGAGGTGGTGAAGCTCAGATCTGTTTTCAGGAGATAAGGCACTAAGCCACTACTACTGTTATAGTTCTGTTTCTGCCATCAAGGACTGAACAAATTACAAAATCAACTGTGAAGAAAACCTTCCAGGTCAAATTTAGGGATTACTGACTGGAGTCTATCATCCCCTGCTTTGCTTCTTGTTCAGTTCTTTTCATGCATTCAAAGAAAATTGTGGCTGGTCTATGCTTTGCATAGGCAGTACTAAGGTGGTCACATCTGACACCTCTTTCGCAGCAATGCAATTGATGATGTGAAACATGAAGGCTTGGAATTGATTGTAACACTCAGGACTGTGTCTGGACTGGTTGTTGGGTGTTGTTAATAAAATCAGTCTCTTCAGCTGTCAGTCTAGAAACTTTCATCAGCCACAAATTAACTAGAAAAGAAAGTACAGCCCAAAACCTGGTCATGAAAAAGGGTCATTAGAAAGAGAAACATATGGATTTTGATCTCACACTCTGTGCAGGCACAGTCTGCCAGCCCTATGAGGTTTATGGTGTCTGGTGTTGCTGCCTCCCCACCCCCAGCCGAGGCGCCGAGGTGATGTGGTGAGAAGCTCTGCCCTCCAGCACTGAAGCAAATTCTTCCTTTCTCAGTATTTCTCAGAAGATTTTCTCTCCCTTTCCTGCATTTCCCTAGATATCATTAACTATACATATATTGGACAGAAAGCATATGCTAACCATATCCAAAATAGATCATTGTGGTATTAATTACAGAAATGTGGAGACTTCCATGTAAGCATTTTAGTCTTCTAGGCTATTTTTGTGCAATGTTGAATGTGTGATAAAACACCACTTCCCCTAGTAACCCTTTACTTCCCTAGAAACAGTGTAGAAATGAGCAGTTCCTATTGTGTATTGTGATCATATATGGCTGCCACATACATCTGCTGCACAGCAGAATTTTATTAATAAGGAACTCTGCACTACTCCAAGCATCATATGAAACACAGTGAGCACACGATACAGTGTTCAATGCAATGTTCCACTGGGCTCATACTAAAATGGGTGTGAAGAAATAAAACATGCAGCTCTTGCTTGTTTGTTGATACATAGTAGGATGACTATGCAAAGCAATCTTTGTCAGGCTTGCCCCTCTATGAGATCCTCTGATGCACCAGCATTTGTGCATTTTCAATTCAAACAGGCAAGGCAATCAAATTCTTAAAAAATGGGCTTTTTTTTAATTCAGAAAAAAAGAGTTGCAGACAACATTTATTCATTATTTGTATGCTGTCTGGCAGTTTCATTTGCTAGTGTCCCTGTGATATGGTGATTAAAAAAAAAACCACTCTGCACTTTATCATACTCCTCTTTCAAAATTCTGTGTCTTAATGAGAGGAGTCTATTTTTCTCTCTGTTTTCAGCTGAACTTAATGACCTGAATTTCAGTATTGCTTTTACCGTGTTTTATAAAAGTCAGAACCCTCTCTGACTTCCTCTTCTTCCTGCTTAGAAAGAAAAAAAAAAAAAATTAAACATAGTGGGTTCTCAGAGATGCTTAATTTGCTTCTGGGTTAATGAGCTTTTAGCATTTGGGAGCAGAGCAAAGATAATTTTTTCTCCTGTTCCTACAATCATGAGGATTACAACATTGCTTTTTCTCCTTGTAATCAAAAACTGGAGTTCTCAGGAGATTTTTCAGTCTCATGGAGCTTGGGCTTTATGAAAACTGTCAGACACGACAAGATTCATGCAATTATGGGAATTGGCAACTGGGAGGTTCTGCAACCACTGCTCCCTCACAGTAAGTGGATGCTAATGGCTAAGCAGAATCAAATATATAGGCCTATAGCCTTAGTTTCAGGGCATAATATGCAAAGAAGGGCATAGTGCTATGAGTAAATATGTTTGGTGTTTTTTAATTTACAATTCCTGTGACCTCAGGTTTTCTGATAGCTCTAGATTTGTTTTTTGCCTAACACAGATATTCCTTTCAGCAATGCTTTGGAACTGAGTGAGTGGATTTACTCCAATTTAAAAACATTTCCAGCATTTGAATAGTCCCCAAATATTCACCATGTGTCCCATCAAAACATTGTCTTGAAAAGAGTTTCATCATTATATTGACCAAAGGGTTCTCAGTGATGAAGAAAATTTTCCCCACTATTGTAATTCTCATCATTTTATCCTTGGCGTGTGGACATGGGCTTGAAATTTGGGCTGGAAAAAATCTCATGTGATTTTTAGACATTGAAGATTCCATGAATAGACATTTGCAGTGCTCTTTGTTTGCATGTTACAGTCAAATATTGAGTACACTTACTACACTTAGAGATATGTTTGAAAATGGAAAGAAAATCCCCCAAAATCAAAACAACTCCCCCCAACAAACAGCAAACCAAGAAGAGGAATGCATTTGTGTGTCCTATAATATCTGCCATGAGCAATTTAGTTATTCCTGGTATCTTCTAGTGGTGTGAAACTACTGCAGTAACATTCAGGTCTTCAAAATAAGTCAAATGAACTCACTGAAATCTGTTCTATAGACCTCAAGTGTGAAATTCAGACTCTCGGTGCAAATCTTACCTAATGTATTTTACAAATTTTCATAGATATTACTTTATGTTTTATTTTTTACTTTTTCAACCATTGCCTGAAGTTTTGGAATTCATCTTTAAAGCCTTCTACTCAGCTAGATTTAGATGTAAGATAATGTAGAGAATGTGGAGCTACATGATAATCAGAAAAATAATTCACTGGATTAATTTTTCATGCACCTCAGTTCACCTCTCCTGCTCTGTGTCATGTGGTCTGTGCAAGAAAATTGAGCCAACAGAAGGATATTTTTCATCCTTCCACCTAAACTGGACACTGCCTCTGAGAAATGCCACTGACTCCCTGTGCAGTGTGAATAAAAAAGTCCATTTCTTGCACTGCATATTTTTCTTGATGTTTAATGTGAGAACAAGTAGTGGGGGAAAAGAGGCCATTGCAGAATGACATCCTCAGACAGAAAAGTGTACATGGCCCCAAGCATCCACACTGCCAAAGTGGAAACCATCTTCAGCACGCTGAGCACCCTCCAGGCTCACAGCAGGTTTGCTCACACCATTCTGGGCTCTTGTGCAGGGGGACCTGTTGGCAGGTCACTCACAGTGTCATCCTGAGGTGTGCATTGCTGGCAGTATCACAGGGT